AAAAAAAGACAAAACAATAAATACAAACAGGGTTAAAACAAATTATTAGAAAAAACTGGGGAGTGAAACACAAATAGAGACATTCAAAAGATCATCCCGATGAAAAAGTAAAAAAATTACTGCAAATTCCTTGGTGCCGTTGTTGACAAAAATTCCCCATTTTTCTGCAGTGTTGCTGCCGCAGTATGAGTGGCAAACCGCGCAAACCATCCCGACCATATAAAAAAAATTAAGAACAAAAACATCTCATCAAAAAAAACTTTTGAGCATCACAGGAATACAAAAACATTCACACACATAATTAATAAAACAAAAAAAGGTAAAGAAAAAAATGTTTCACACATGATAGCATGATTCTTGGTGACTACACATTCAGACACTGTCTACTCGAACCAAAAAACACATAATCATATTGACCATCTTAAAAAATAAAAACCTCTCTGATTGGACTGAGAAAACGATTCAACTAAAAAAAGAAAAAAAAATAGTACAGAGCTCCAATAGCAGCAGATAGAGTGGAAAAAATGGTACAGATACTACAATTAGTTGATACAGAGCGAAATTGAGATCAAACGCGGGAGTTATTCAAAATTGAAAAATGCCTTCTGAAACTGCATAAATCACAATTAAAAACGCCTCTGATACTGTAAGTAGTCGATACAGACTGAAACTAAAAAATGCCAGAGTTTGTCTCAGATGGAGCACAAAAAATTCAGTAAAAAAACAAACAAAAACATCAATAGTGTGATACTGCTGTAAGATGGTGTCAGTATATGAAACCAAGCAAAGGTAAAAAAAAATGGTGTCAGTACAAAAAAATGAAAAATTATTCAACTCATACTTCTAAAAAAAATGTCTTCAAAGTGCCAGAGAGGGTACCCACAGTCAGTTATTGTCAACTTTCAGTTAAACTACCAATAGTTTCAGTTTCCTGTATACTGTCCGCTGGTGAAATTCAGAACATTTAAAATGTGATTTTCAAAATCAAATTCCAAAACAAAAGAAAGAAGTGCTAGATAAACAATTTAATGTGATTTTAACTCAACTTCCAATGAAAATGTGAGTTTCATTGTTTCAATCACACCACAAATTCAGACCTTCAGACCTTACTGCATCATCTAACAGTATACACTCTAGACCAACACTAAGAAATGACCTTCAGACTAAAAAAAATCATCTACCGATATGTATCACAGAACAAAACCTATCTGCTTCTATATATATAGACATTCAGGTCGATCGAAAAATTAGGACACATACGTAGAAATACTCAAAAAATAAAAAGGATAACATACTACCTGAAAAAAAGCAGATCCACGTACAATCATATAGAAAACAGGAAAACCATGTAATCAAACATGAATCTACTTCCCATCTAAGGCACAAAAACCTAGTCAGAAAGCATGTATCAACCCCCTAATCTCATCCGCCCACCCATCTAAAAGGAAAACAAAAACAAAATCTACATGAATACCTAACAACCTCCCCATTCTATTCATTACATCTGCACTAGCCCTAGAACTACAACAAATGTATCAACCCCCTAATCTCATCCGCCCACCTGTCTAAAAAGAAAACAAAAAACAAAATCTACATCAAACCCTAACAACCTCCCCGTTCTATTCATTACATCTGCACTAACCCTAGAACTACAACAAGAAAATAAAAAAAGTGGGGGAAGAAACCATGGGGAGAATGCCTTACTTCAACAAAACGGCGATCTCCTCTCCACTTTCAGCTCTCCCCTTCTGTATCCCAATTCGACGATGAACAGAGCGCTCGGGGGAAGGGACTAGGGAGCCAGAAGACGAACAGAGGACCTGTGGGGAATGGAGTCAAGTCAGAATCAGGACGCTTTGGTCTCTTATATATATAAAAAAAGAGGAGCGGGGGAGTGCAACGGGCAGGGGAGTGGAGAAAAAAGAAGAAGAAACAAGCCCAACACGATACGGGCCGCGATAACGGGACAACCAGTCCATCCGCAAAAATGCACGAATCGCTACGCGAAAATAATCGACGATCCACAAAGTGAATGAGACCAAACTTGAAACTCACCTCCTGATTTTAGGGCGTGGACGCAGTTTACTTGATTTCCCTCCTACTCTGAGGCAGAGAGTGAACGATAATCCTACATGTACTAAGGACATGTACAATGGTGCTATCTTAGGTGTGCCATGTAGGATAAATGATGAGCTGGAGGAGAGAGAAGTCATAAGAAAATGCTTGTCTTCTCTTATTTAAGAGAAGACAAGAGATGATCTCTTAGCACAATATGTCTCATCATACTTGTAGGAATTCCTAGTTATTGAAGATAGAGCTAAAAGATGATTCATTGTAGACATTTTTTCTTGCCATATCTAAATTACATGCAAGACTTAAGATAAGGCTACCTTATCAACCATTGTACTTTCCCCTACCAAACCTTCCAAACAAATCCTATCACCACCCGAGTTTCGGGGTGGGCCCTAGCCGCTAATCCTGACCCAATTAATCACCTCCATATCAGCTTTTACGTACGCGCTTAGGCTTCGGCCTGGACGTTCACGTCGATCGTGTACCCTGGACCAATGGCCTAGCTGCTAGCCTAAAAGTTACACGCACGTACTATCATGATTGGGTTGGTCGATTTTACCGGGGTCAATATGAAGCGTTAGATAAAAAACAAACGTGGCAAATTGCATTTTCTTTCTCTAACCGTTTTCTTCCTGAAAAACATATCACACCTTCTTCCTCCCGCCGCCTGCTACCACCACCCGTGTCTGGCTGCAGAAAAATGGCATGGGTTGGGCGGGCCATGGACCATCGGGCCTTGCCGTAGCTCCGCCACTGGGGGAGGATGAGACTACGTGGATTTTCGGGCCATGAAACACAATTCCTATAGTTATTTCCTACAGCTGCCCCCAGCTTTCTGGGCCAAGCTCCGTCACTGTCCCCCCCCTACCCCACCGTCATGCTTGCCGTCGCCCCAGGCCATCCCTGTAAGCCCCGTCGAACTCTAATTCCGGAATTGACAGCAGCTGCACCCCGCACCTCTAAGATAGACACCGGGGCCTAGCTTACCCGACGAACCTGCACCTCCGCACCCCTAAGATAGACACTCAAGCCAAGCTTCCATGGCAAACCTACTCCTCCGCACACCTAAGATAGACACCAAGACCTAGCTCTCAGATGAACCTGCGGCCTTAGTGCTCCGTCCGCCTCATGTCACCAGAAATCAAGTAAGCTAAATTCCGTTTTCAGGCGACTGGCGTGCAACTAAACTACTTAAATTATTATCACATTAGCTAAATGTCAGTCGATTGAATTTCAAATTTAGGGTCAATCGAAGAAGGAAGAAGAAGAAGAAGAAGGAAGGGGCTCGCTGGAGGGCTACCTCATTATCTATCTTAGGGTTTAGGGTGGGAACGGTGATGGGGCTTCGCTAGAGAAAAAAACCCACACACATCATTCGATTGATGTGAGGCAGTGTATCCAATTCCAACCCCACACACATGATACCCAGACTAGCCGAGCAAATTTATTGGAATACCGCGTTTGGACTGTCGAGTACGTAATAGAACCTTCGTTTCCGAAATCGTTCATTAACATCTGACACTCCTCAAGGACCGGGGCCGCTAGATCCTTTTTTTTTTAACATCAGTACAGACACAAGCGCTCATATACACGCGCATACACTCACCCCTATGAACGCACACACGCACACCCTACCCCTATGAGCATCTCCGAAAGACTGAGCCGGCATATCATCTTGAGATTTACGAAGTCACCGTAGGCGCCTCGTCATCGACGGGAACGTCTGCTCCCCCTGATTGTGCATCGCCGGAAATCCTGAAATAAATCCAGAAATAAATGCGAGCACCAGGATTTGAACCCTGATGGGCTGGGGATACCACAGTCCCTCTAACCATCTAACCACGGGTTGGTTCGCGGGCCGCTAGATCCTAATGGCTCTTAATGGCAACTTGCGAGATGCATGTACGTAAAAGACAACGAAATTTCACTGGAGGATGGGTCCACGGACAAGACACGCAGTGCACTTGTCGGTCTAGTTGCGTCGCTTGCTGCCCAGGGACGGTGCACTGATCGTGTGGGCGCGCCGGCATGCATGACCGTCGTACCAGTTTGTAGCCCTGTCGCTGTATCACCCGTACATGCATGCATGGACGATGGTTGGTTGGCTCGTACCGTACGTACGCACGCGCAGAGGCTTCTGCCTGGACGTACGCTTCGATCGTGTACCCTGGACCAATGGCCTAGCTGCTAGCCTAAAAGTTACTACACGCACGCACGCACTACAATCACTGTCCCCGCCGCAGTTCCGTTGTGCCGTGCAACACGAGTTGCCGGGAAGCCGCGCGCCGCCTTCCGGGCAACTTCCTCCCGCTCCCGGCGAGCCACCAACGCGCTTCCCATCTGGGAGTCGATCGAGGGCACGGTGCCGCACCAACGTACTCCACGTACTGACTTGGCGGTGAAACTTCCGGGAAGATCACACTGAACTTCGCGACATGTATCGCCACTGTGAATCTGTGATCGAGGCGAGAGTGAGTCTGAACGGACCGGAAAGCCACGGCGCTGGTTACCGCGGCCGGCCACGTCGTCCGTCAGGCACTCTGGGTACCGCCAGTGGCAATTAAATAAGACCAGAGAGTATGGTCGGGGAGCAGAGCGTACACACACTGTACGTTGATGTACCGGAGCAGTGTCCGTCGCCCATGGGCCACAAGCGAGCAGAGTGGTACAGTTTTGGTCTTCACTCTCGCTCGATTGATTCCAAGTCTCCAACTTTTCTCCGGTCTTCAGTCAACCCGAAGTCCCGAACCTCGCTTACAGATCAATGATTCCCGGCCATGAGCAGTGCTTAGTGCTTACTACCACTGATCCGGCACTATAAAAGAGCCCCGCCTCCCGTCGCTGCCAAGCTCATCATCACATCTCGTGACACGCCTGCCGCCGATCGGGTAGCTAAGTGTGTGCTGAAACTGGGCGGAGGGCCGGGCATGGAGGACGCGACGGCGACGACGCTGGCGACGGAGCTCGACGGGCTGCTGGCCATGGCGAGGGAGCTGGAGGCGCGGGTGGGCGCCGACCAGGGCGTGCCGGGTGCCGCGAGGGAGCTCTGCGCCGCGCTGGCCGCGTCCGTCGACCGGGCCGTGCGCCTCGCCGGCCGTAGCGGCAATGCCGGCGGCAGGGCGAGCGTGAACGGCCAGCGCAGGAGCGGCAGGAAGGCGGCGGCGGCGAAGGTGCGGACGCAGGTGCGGGTGGCCTCGATGCAGGACCTGGGTCCGCTCGACGACGGGCTCAGCTGGCGGAAGTACGGCCAGAAGGACATCCTCGGCGCCACGTACCCCAGGTCCTACTTCCGGTGCACGCACCGGCACACGCAGGGCTGCGCCGCCACCAAGCAGGTGCAGCGGGCGACGGCCGACCCGCTGCTCTTCGACGTCGTGTACCACGGCGCGCACACCTGCGCCCAGACCGCCGTCCTGGCCGGCATGGAGCAGCAGCAGCCGCCTGCTGCCTTCGGCCAGGAGCCGCAGAGCCCGCCGGAAGAGGTTCAGTGGCCGGCAGAGCCCGTGACTCCGTTTTCCTTCCCCTCCTGCTGCCACCTTACCGGGAGCTACGGCTACGCGGCGGCGGGCGGCGGCCTCGGAGTTGACATGGAGCTTGAAGATCAACTCGACGAGCTGTTCTTGGACGTGTCAGGGATTTTCTAACCGGATGTTCAGAACCTGTCAAGTCACGTAGTACAAGAATGCGAACTCAGCTACTGTTTATGGAACTTAAAACTCCATTATTACGATGGTGGACCTGTAGAACTGTAGAAGCACTCGGCGCGAGCGCCATTGCATCAGCAGGTAAACACTGCTGCTCCTCCGACCAAAGCAGCCGTCGTGCCTGTCGCCTTAGAGCATCAACAAACCGGTCTGGCCAAATCTAGACCTCTGTACGTCCGCGAAAAAGTTCGTTCATAACTGTGTCTCTCAAACTAAATCCTCAAATTCATACTTGTTTATCCGACGCTAAAACTAAACTTACACGCATAGTTGAACACACACATATGTCATCGGACCACCAAAAATCGACAATGTTCGACTAGCTACAAAAGTACAAATGATACAACGATGGAGGAAGTTTGTCCACGCCCTTACCTTTGCCGTCTTTGTTGCGGAAGTAGCTTTTGAAAAATATTAATTCAAGCATTTATCATATTTGCTTATATCTCAATCATAACCATTTTCTTATCAATGTGCATATATCTTTTTTTCTGTTATTTGTGCCAATGCATAGACAATTAACAAATTTGGGGAAAGGTCTTACATAAAACATTTGAAAAATATTAATTCAAGCATTTTAAAATGTTAAATGAGTACAAAGAAAATGTTTGTCATATATATGAAAAATGAATGGAAAAAGTTGATCATGTTTTTAGAAAATGCTAATCAACCATTTCAAAAATGTTAATCAAGTATTTGAAAAATGTTACTCAAGCATCTCAAAATGTTAAATATCTATAGATTTTTATTGTCATGTATAGAAAAAAGGTATATATAAAAATACAATATGTATGAAAAAATGTTGATCATGTATTTAAAAAATATTAATCAATATTTTGAAAAAATTTAAATCTGTAGAGAAAAAAATGTTTCTGATGTATACAAAAAATGTTGACAAAAGATATACAATGTGTATGAAAAAAATGATCATGAATTGTGAAATGTGAAACGTGTGTAAAAAATGTTAATTGTCTATGAATGTAAATAGACATTAAAAGCATATAAGCGAGATACCGCTCACAAATACGCACATACACTAACCCATATGAATGTATACACACACGCCCTAACTTTGTGAGCACCTCTTATAGACTGAGCCGGCACACCATGTTGAGATTCACGAGTCGCCACAGACTTGTTTTCTAGTTAACGGGAACTTCTTCTGATGGATTCATTTCACCACATGTAATCTAATCATCCGAGTTACGCTTAATTCGTGTGCGACAAATTCTTTGATTTGGTGTTTTGAACCGAGTCTCAGTCCCAGTCCCAGCGCATCCGTCCGGGGTCGCGTCGCGTCCATGTAGAAAACCTTTTGACGATTCCGGGCTCAGCACTGTCGTTCCCAAAGTAGTTTCGTTCCGGGCTTCACCTGCACTGCACACGCCGCGTGAAAGCAGATCGACGTGACTCGCTAGCTCCACGACCCTACTCCCTGTAGGCCAGGACCGGCCGGTTACACACATCGTTCGAACTTTGAACCCTTCTCTTGTTGGACCGATACCGTGTACCACACGGACTGGCTGCTGATTGCGCCTTTTGTGTCCAGGTCCAGCGACTGTACAGAGGCTCCTTGCGCGTGCACACGGCACACGCCCCTCGGCTTGTACGCACTCTCCAGTCCTGTCACCGTTTGTACGCGGGTCATGCCAAGTCCACATGCTACATGTCCATCGTGCGTGCCCCTGGCCCAAGTTGGCTCTATACTATGCCCGCTTGCACTGCTCACTTCCCGGCAACGGCCAACCGCGCGCGCCGCCTTCCGGGCAACTTCCTCCGCCCTGCCGCGGCGCAGATCGACCGCACGTCCGGGGATGAGGTGACGGCACCAAGCCACGTACCGGCGCGGCACAACGCCAGGCGCTTTTTCCCTCCGCGGTTACTGTCCGCCCATGGACGGCAGCGGCGACGAAACTTCCAGGCAAAGCAAGCTGAAGTTCACCTGCGCCGCGTCGATGGGTCCAAACGAGGCGATCCGGTGAGAGCGACGCCGCTGGTTATTGCGGCTGGCCACGTCACCCGTCAGCTACCGGGGTGGACAGAGAGCGCATATTCATGGCGGCCCCATGGTGGTGGTGGCCTTGCCCAGGACCAGATGGGAGGGAGAGGAGAGGAGACTAGGACCGGTCCGAGCGTGACGTGTCTCTTCCTTTCCTTCCTCGGTTCAAAGTCTCGCGCTTTTCTCCGGTCTCCAGTCAAACAAGCTCCGGATTTTTTTTTCATAATTCCCGTCCCGGCCGTGGACAGTGCTTGCTTGGGTCCGCTGGCCCTATAAAACCCTCCTCCTCCTCCTCCCGCTGTCACCACCAAGGGAACTCATCATCATCAGTTCACCGCAAGAACGAATCCCCGCCAGCCACTAATCGGCCAGCTAGACTTGGTGTGCCGGGCATGGAGGGCGCGACGACGCTGGCGACGGAGCTGGACGGGCTGCTGGCCATGGCGAGGGAGCTGGAGGCGCGGGTGGACGGCGACCAGGGTGCGCCGGGCGCCGCCAGGGAGCTCTGCGCCGAGCTGGCCGCGTCCGTCCACCGGGCCGTGCGCCTCGCCGGGAGCGAAGGCAATGCCGGCGGCAGGGCGAGCGTGAACGGGCGGCTCAGGAGCGGCAGGAAGGCGGCGGCGGCGGCGAGGGCGCAGGTCAGGGTGGCGTCGATGCAGGACCTCGGGCCGCTCGACGACGGGCTCAGCTGGCGCAAGTACGGCCAGAAGGACATCCTGGGCGCACCCTACCCGCGGGCCTACTTCCGGTGCACGCACCGCCACTCGCAGGGCTGCCAGGCCACCAAGCAGGTGCAGCGCGCCGCCGCCGACCCGCTGCTCTTCGACGTCGTCTACCACGGCGCGCACACCTGCGCCCAGGCCACCGCGCTCCTCGCCGGCACGGAGCAGCAGCCGCCTGCTCCCTTCGGCCAGGAGCAGCAGAGCTCGCCGGCTGCGGCGCCGGAAGGGATGCAGTGGCCGGAAGAGCCCTTCACGCCGCCCTCGTTCCCCTCCTCGCCGGCCGGCTGCTACACGCCGGGGAACTCCTGGTGCCAGCTTGCCGGCAACTACGGCTACGCTGCCGGCGGCGGCCTCGGGGCTGACATGGAGTTCGACGAGCTGTTCTGGAATATGTAGTTTTTCTAACCGGAGTTTCAGAAGACTGTAGGCGCCGCGTCCACTATCGTACTGTATTCCCACTAGTAGTACTTAGATTCAGACTCGTGATCATTTATCACAATGGGAGCTATATCTAGAGTAGATATAGTACCATCAGTCCATCACTACTAGTAGTGGTAATAATACACTGGCCACTGCAAGAACACCAAATTGATCTACAGAGACTCTGAACTGCAGCAATATATTATGGATCAGCACATGCACAAAGCCAGTCTGTGCAGTTTATTACAGCAGCAGGGGCTTCATAAGCTAGTTGAGCAACAGAAATGTGCACTCACTACAGCACAATGTCATCACTACAGGCACCAGGAAAAGGTTCTCAGGGATTTACAAGCACAATTTGGGGGAACCGGTGAGAGTACCTATACTGAACTCTTCTCCTTGCTGTCCTGAGGAGCTTCAGGGCTGCTCTCCTCTGCTTTGTCCAGGTTCCTCAAGGCTCCCCTCAGCCCCAGCACAATGAACAGATTGGTGAGTGTGAGGAGCGATTCCGCCGTCCCGTGCAGCAAGTCCACGTTAGACAGCGAGGTCCCGTAATGAACTTTGGCTGAAAGAGGACGGTGATGTGTCGGTAAATACTTATTGTATGTATGTATGATTCACTGAAACCTTAATGATATTATGCAATTACCATATATCCCAGCAGGTACTGCTCCGGGGATAAAAGGCCGGTGCAATGTGCATGAAACAAAAGGGAAATAATTAATGACGTGAGATGAGGCATAATTTTCTACGAGCTAGCTAAATAGTGGAAGCTAAATAATTTAAAATAGAGGAGACCTATGTGTACAGCAGATGGACACATACACATAGTATTTTGTTCAGACAGTTAAGTCCCAATCAAATGGCAAGGCTCACACTAATTGAGGAACAAATTGGTTTGTTCGTGCTACTCATAGGGTAGAATTTTGATTGATTGTCCACTCTACTGATTCAACATCCCTTTCCCTTCCTACTTCGTTCTACAAAATCCAACCAGTAACACAATTCACAAAACAAATTTTCGTTGGTCATTACTGCCTCCGTTCCTAAATAGATGACCCAACTTTGTACTAACTTTAGTACAAAGTTAGTACAAAGTTGGGTCATCTATTTTGGATCGGAGGGAGTATATGTCTTCTCCAACTACCTGAAGTATGTACCACTGAAAATTGCTCAAAATAAACCAGCTTCAAATTTTCTTTTCTACAGGCTTGTGTTAATCATTTGCCTTGGCTGTAGTTCAAAGAAGACGTTCGGCTTTGGGAAGATGCGAACATCATAAAAACTATTGGCCGGTTGCTTTGGAACAGTATATAGAAACCTGCACTCCTGCAGTGGTGCTCTCTTACCAAGTGTATGGACATTTTGTGTTTTAAGTTCATTCCATCCACAAACTTCCTGTGTTTACACGCACATGAGCACACTATCGCAGTCTCAGTTGCAACGTTTTGTCGACCTAGAACACATTTTGCAGATGTAAGCTGAGTGCCAGGGCATTTTGAATTGTTCAAATATGTCTGACAGCCACAAAATGCAGGTAAATTTTCTGCTCCCGCCATACCATTCATGTGAGACAGTTCTCAGTTTCTCATGATGAAATCCATATCAATTTCTACACACAGCATCGTCTATCAATTTCTACACCCAGCATCGACAGTACTCACCCGATATGTAAAATTGAGCTTCTGATAGTGGCCAAATTGCCCAGTAGCATTCACATTCAGTTATCTAACCACTTCTACAATCTTTGCTGCTTCTCTGCTCTGGTAGTGTTACTGGCAATGTTCACCACGAAACATACAAGTATTTTCGCTCCCCAACCACAACAACTACTCTAGATTGACACGTGAAAGCAGCGAGACGAAAAGGGAAGAGGAGGACGCGTACTGGTGGCGCCGACGAAGGCGAGGAGGAAGTAGAAGCCGAAGAGCGTGAGCCCCGGCGCCGTCTTGGACCGGGTCATGAAGTAGAGGAACCCCAGGTAGGGGAACAGGGACACGGCGAAGAGCTGCGACGCGATGCTCTGGGAGTCCACGCCGGGCGCCCACGGGTCCACGGGGAACATCCCGCACCGCACGGCCGCGTTCCGTCCCCTCCTCCTCCTCGCCGCCGGCGCTCTCCGTTTGGGGAGAAGGACGCGCTCGAGGAGGTAGCTGCCGCCGGGTCGCGCGGCGGGGAGCGGCCGCGCCGGCGCGCGGCAGGCGGCGGTGGCGGCCAGCATTTCGGCGCGGGGAAGGAAGGACGAGCTCCCTCCGTTTGGGTGGCTCGCGTTGCTCTGTGGAGGATGACGCCCGGAAATGGGCTGGCCCATAAGCCCAGAGCTGGCTAAGTGGGCCATGGACCGCATGCCAGCCCATGAGAACGTGTGCTCGGCCTGTCGCAGGCCTGGCCCGGCATGGTTATAAGCCGTGCCTGGCTGCGAGGAGGCCCACGTGCCGGCAAGACATGTCTTGTTTTTTGTTTTTTATTTTTTATATAGGCCAAAAAGCCTAAATAGCATAAAAAGCCCATTAGGCCAAAACATGTGGGCCAAACATGCCGCGGGCTGGCCCGTTTACTAGAGGGGCCATGCCGGCCTAAGGGCGCGTTACGCGGGCCGGCACGCCACGACCTTGTTAGTAATCGTGTTGTGATGGGTCGTGCCGTGCCAGGCACGTTTAGCCTTGGGTGGGCCATGCCGGCCCATCTGACCAGATTTGGTCACGTATCAGTATTGTTTTTCAGTGTAAAAAAATTAGATTTTTTTTCTCCATTCAACACTTAAATCAGTGCTAGCACTGCCATGAAGTTCATTAATGACTTAAAATTATATAATGCAGGCGTGAATATAATTTTCTTTAAGTCAAACTTCACAAACTTTGATCAAGTTTGTGGAGAACAATATATATATCTGAAATATTAAATACATACCATTAGATAGACCATGCAATGTATTTTCATATTATATATAAAAATAATTTTGTTTTTAAAATTGTTAAAAGTTCTCAATTTTTGCAGATGAAGTATTTTTTTGCAGATGAAGTATTTTTTTATTTAGCTTCTCATTGGAGGCTTAGTTTAGGGACAATACAAACTTTTGAATACTATCAAAGCATCCCTAGCCTTTACCTATCATTTACATGTAAACCTCTCTCTATCCTTTAACCCCAAATATATAGACTAAACTTTTGGCGTACCTAGCCCTTCTCCTAAACTTTTGATGCACATGGCCGTTCCCTTAAATTTTTAGAAACCTCTCTTTATCATCCTCTTTCTTCCACGCGGCCAACGACAACTTCTTGTCAGTAGATGGTGCCCATGTCCTAACTATGGCCTATGATAGATTATGCGCAAAAGTATTTAGATAGAGGCTCATTGAGCATGATGTATGCGTTCAAGGAAGGAGTCAAGAAAGTAGGCGAAATTCATCCTCTACAGGTCACGGTTTGGGCACTTCTTCATCTGAATGAGTTATTTTCCTCTTCCTTGTCCTAATGGAATGATGTTGTGGTCCGAAAAGCAAGGATCCATCAAAATCGATGATGGTGGCCAGCGGCCATGCTTCTTTGTAGTAGTGTTTTCCCTCTATACTTGCTCCTTCGGGTGTGGTGTTGCTTTGATCGTGACTGAGGGCGACAGGGATGAGGTCCGCTGAGCGAGGATGACAGGGAAGAGTGTGGTCGTGCCGGAGACAACATGAAAGTTGAAAAGATGAATAAATACGCCAGAATCTCACTGGAGGTCAGGGGTGGTGCACGGGCATCAGGGCCATGTCCAAGGAGGAGCACCATTGAGGAGAGAGAGAGAGAGAGAGAGAGAGAGAGAGAGAGAGGCGTAAGATGAGAGAGATTTTAATGAGAGTTGCCTCTCCCAGTCTAGTGAGGAAAAGTTTTAGGGAAGGGGTGGAAGCATATTGGGAAGTGCTAGGGACGCTCTCACATCCCACATCCTTATAGTGTCAAAATTTCAACCTTCTGTCTCCTTAGTTGGCCAATGAATCATAAAATGTCTAGTCGTAGTTTCACTCGACAAACAAAAATTATCCATGAAGTTGGTAGTTGCATCTCCCACATCGCAAAAAATCTACTCTTAGATGTAAGTCATAAAACATAAGGATGTTTCTAGCTATATATTTACCAATTTCGTATATATCACACCATAAGTATGCCATGGAACACAGTGGGTTCAACAATTATAGAAGTGCGCTTGGGGAGCTTCTGAGGCGGTGATTTTCAAATCAAATGATGAATGCATAAAATTTGACGAGTTTGATTGATTTTAAACAAGGTTACAACAGAACGGTCAACTTGTTGTTATTTAAAGTTTTGGAATTAGACTTTACAAATTGCAAATCAAATCAATACAAAACCGGATATACATTTTTTTACCACATATCAACAACAAGTGATGCTATTTTATGACATATAGAGCATGCATTTGATTCGAGTTGATCTGCTTATGTTATTCCAATAAAAGGTAAAAATGTATGGAGGTGTTTCAAACTAACTGTCAAACCTAGAAACATGGAATATATATCTTCTCTGATGAAGTCACCACAATCATCTCGTAGTCCAAGTCTCACAAGAAAGGAACATCAATAAACGAGTAATGGCGGCAGTTTGACGACAAACCCTGGTAGACACCATATATAATCTAGATTTTTCTCACTTACGTACATATTAGATATATAATCATGCACTTGAAAATATCTAAAGATACTTTTAAACTCTTCATGGGAGAGCTCTCTACCACACGTAAAACATGTGAATACATACATGTACCAAGAAGGCAATAATTCATCTAAATGACACAAAATAATTGATGGAAACACATCATAATGTTTCCAGTTTTATTCCATTTAGGGTATTCAATACATTTAACCAAAGCTTTGTTATGGCATGGATTTTCAAATATCAAACAACAAACATTAATTTACTTGCAAAATATGTTTTAAACTTAGTGGAGGTATAATTTTGATGGAAAATATAATTTTTATATTTTGAAAATACTTAAAAACATTATTATATGGTTAAGTTAAATATAAGAAAATATATAATGGTTCGACCATATGTTGGAAGAATCGGCAATACATCAGTAAAATAATTTAGTATAAATACACATTATTTTAACTACCAATTATAATGACATGAGATACTAGAATTATGTTCGTCCCGGCAAAAACTTTCATCTATTGATGTCTGACCTTAACATGTGTAATTTTTAGTCACGAGCTCCACTCTGGCGTAGTCTCCATGTGCTCAGAGGTGCGTGTGTGCATTTGTTGTCAGCCACCACAGAGTCAGCCTTTCGAGACAAGATTGTTCTGAAACCCGTTAGCTAATATCCGAAAGAAGAAGAAAATAAGGGGAAAGAGAGTGTCGTGGCCTGTGAGGTGCATATGCATTATCATGATGAAATTAAAGTAAAAGGAGGACCATGAAAGAAATATTATTTATCATGTGATTGTTTTTGCACAAAAAATTCTGAAATATAAAAAACCTAAATTTTAATGTGTCGCAGATATAACCAACAACCTCATCGGAGATGCCCATTCCACCATCTTTGTCAGAAACAATGCCGGCTTCGTGCAATAAATAAAAGACCTCACAATGGGGACTGAAAAAGGCTCACCAAGAACTTGCACTTCTTTGATTTAGTTTTAGCGGCGGAAATAATGTAGTGGATGAAGATTGGACGATGGGCAGCCAAACTAAATTTAAATTCCACCAAGCACGAGGTATGCGCAGGTCGAGTACATATCACTTGTTCTCTCTCGTTGCCGCCAAAAAATTGCCCTATCTCCTTCCGCCTCTGTGACAATGAAGAAGGTGGTGGTGGGGACGCCTACTTCACCCGATCCAGCACTCAACGTACCCATGCCTTTCGCCTGGTTACATGATACGATCTACGGTGCTCGATTTGTCATAATAAAATGGAAACTATTTTCTATGTATAACATCATATCTACTAATACACAAGTATAGAGAGGTTTAGAAAATCACTAAATAATGTCAAACTTGCAGAGGACATCAAGAGAAGATGTTGCATCACAATATATACTGTTTGGAATGGAAAGGAACGAAATTGCCAAACTTTTGAGGCAAAATCGATGACCGTGGTTTTGGTAGCGAGTATAATCAGAGATGAATTAGGCCTTGGAGGCCAGGGAGTACTTAGTTGCATGAGATTCATGATGCTTGTTCACTCTTGGCACTTTTTCTTGAAAACCATACTACCTTTATTCAATCGAAATAACTGATACATCGTTTATGAAGAAATGCATACAATTTCTTTCAACGACTCCTCAAACCAATCAACAGTAGCACTCTTGTTAGTTTTATTACTTTGCTATGCTTTTACTCCCCATATTAAAGACTCTAGCAGATGCCACATATTCTCGTCCAACAAAAATAGTATAGGGCTCACCCTAAAACGGATTTGGGGTACGCTGTGGCATCAGGCAGAATAGATGCGGCAAACCCGTACCACCCGATGCCACGGCGTACTGCAAATCCGTTTTACTTGAATAGGCAAAATCTTGATTTAAACAATAAAATAGCAATATAAATCAAATCTATTAATGTTTTTTGTGGGTAAACTTATTAATGTTTTAACATCATATAATACAATAATCCTCTCAATTACAATAAATGTTCAAATACGAATAATTAAAACAATACAACCTGCTTCGGAACAAAAATAATTATTCAAATCACACATGAATACAAATAAGGTCAAATGAATAAAATGGGAGATCTATCATACAGTTGCCACTGGTGCTCAATAAGATCATTGTGGAGCTGGTTGTGTGTGTCATTGTCTTCAATGTGCCGGTTGGTCTCAAGAAATGCCATGATCACATCTGAATTTCCGTCAAGCTTGACACGGCTACCAATATGGTCATAGAAAAATTCTAAGTTTAAATCCCTCTCATCCTCGATGATCATGTTGCGTAAAATTATGCATGCAGTCATGATATTTGAGAGGGATTTCTTATCCCAGTACCGAGCAGGACCTCTAACATTGACAAACCGAGTTTGCAACAACCCCAACGCCCCCTCGAAATCTTTTCGGCATGCTTCTTGTGCATGGGCAAAAATAGTTTGTTTTTTGCCTTGTGGCTTACTAATGGTTTTCACAAATGTTGCCAATGAAGGATAGATAGCATCAGCAAAATAATACCCCATGGTACAATCAAGTCCATTGACGGTGTAGTTGCAAAGTCGGAGTTTTCCCACTAGC